GTCTGGCTGCACTATTTTGGACCAACTCATGTTTTCAAACAGTTGTCCAAGGCAGCCCCACATAGAGCACATTACAGAAATCCAGTCAGGAGGCCACGAAGATGTTGCATGTCACTGTAGCCAAGTCAGACTTCTCCAGGAATGGGCGCAGCTGACACACTGACTTCAACTGTCTAAATGCGCTCTTGACCACTGACAAGACCCAGGCATTCAGGCTGAGAAATGAATCTAAAAGCACGCCGAAGATGAGATCCTGGGTTGTCAGAGGTACCGTAACCCATCTAGCACAGGTTGGACCTTCATTCACTGATCCACCTTTCAGATGACTAGGAGCACCTCTGCCTTGTCTGGATTCAGCTTCTGAAATCAGCCTCCAGGAAGAACTGGAAACCCCCCCCCAAGACAGTGCCACTGAGTCCTGTCCTACATAGGCTGCCCAAAAGGATGCCCCGAGTGATGGTATTGAAAGCTGCTGAGTGGGCCAGTAGAACTAACAGTGGCACACTTTCCCTCTCCAGTTCCCAGTGTAGGTCATCCACCAAAGCAACTGAAGCTGTCTCTGTCTCGGAGCCACATTAAAATAGATCTAGATAATCAATTCCATTTGAGAATCTCTAGAACCGGGAAGCCGCCACCTGCTCAACCAACTTGCTTGGGGATGGGAGAGTAGAGGGTCAGGATGGACTTTCTCAGCACTGGTCTTATCACTCCCTCTTTTAGGCAACTTGGGATCCTGCCGTTTTGGTGAAGGCCTTCCCTTCTTCCTTGACCCTCTTGGCCAAATGTCACAGTGGTGCCCTTCACCTCTCCAAGAATCTATGCCTTGACTTGGGCCTGAAGAAGAAAGAGGCAGGCGCTGGTGGAGCTCTTGGGGAACAGCTCCAGGGCCCTCAAAGTGCCCTCAAAGCAATCAGCCCCTAGCGGAGGGGGGGGGCATGCCACCCTATATCTTAATTTCATGCACCAAATGGTCATCCAAGCCAAATGTTTTTGTACGTATGGAATGCTGTATGTATGGGACAGCGTAGAGTTCTTGCTAGTCCTCCTCCCTGGAAAATGAGAGTTCGGTCTGAACACTGTTGTGTCATGTTTGATTCCCAAAACTATAATGCTGCAGTTCTGGCAACTTAGAATCAAAACCCTATAAATTCAGCATCTCATTTTCTGGCAACCATTTTTGGAATGTGGCTTCCTTCTTATGAATTTACCATATTTTTTGCACCATAAGACGCACTTTTTCCCCACAAAACAGAGGGGTGGAAAGTCTGTGCGTCTTATGGAGCGAAGAAAACAGATTATATTTTCCTGTTTTCTTCTTCTAAAAAATTGGTGTGTCTTATGGAAAGGTGCGTCTTATAGAGCGAAAAATACGGTACTTAAAAGTGTAAATCTTAACTGCCTGTGTCCCGAGAGGCCAGAACGATCATTTCCTATCAGCCCTGCAAGAGGGCAAGTTGCTACGAGTGAATGAGGAACTGGGTGAAGATTCTGAAGTCAAAATCTTAGTTTGTTCCTGTCGCAGGACTGCCTTTTGAAATACAGTGTTTGGTTTATTGAAAAGGATAGAGAGACTCTGCAGAGCAGAGATGAAAAGGGGTCCCTGCCCAGATCAATTAATTTCAATAAGATAAAAAATATGAGCATGCCTTTATAGGGGTTTCATCCCATAACAAGCTGAGATCATTAGACTGAGTGTCTCAGTCACTTGAACAAACTGTTCAAGAGCAACCTTGATAGTCTGGCTGCAGCCTTGTGATGAATTGTGACATGTTCATATAAACACCAGAAGAGTACTGATTATATGGGATACATGGATACAATGTAAAGTGTTTAGTATTTTGAAAACAAAGAGAACAAAGAGTTAAGTTTCAGTAAGCGCTTCTGTCCGTTATCTCTCCAAGCAAAAATGTCAGTTTGCTCCTTACATCTCTAAGCTTCCTGCTGTTGCACTTTCCCCCTTATCTCTTTCCTCTGCATCTCCTTGGCTCTCCAGCCAGGAGAAGAGAAGGAGAGCTGTCCTTGTATTGTTTTCAAACAGTTTGTGGGAAAGTTGCTGAGGCACTTATCTCTGCATTGAAGAGAATTTCTGAATGGGCTCCTTTATACTAGCCCACAGTGACATAGAGCATTGGATACATATTGAATACATATTGAAAGGAAAAATAGGTAAAAATAATTTCAGATCAGCTTGTGTGTGTGTTCTGTGCTGTCAAGTCAGAACTTATTGTGATCCTAATAGGGCTTTCAAGGTAAGTGAGATATTTAAGGATTAGTTTTACCAGTTCCACACACACATCAGTGAGTTTCTATGGCCAAGTGGGATTCGAACCCTAGTCTCCAGAGGCCTAGTCCATCATTCTATCCACTAACCACACCAGGAGTCCCAAGGTTAGCTTTCTTCCTCCCCCCCCACCCCCCGCAAAGGCTCATTTTCTGAGCATGAATTTAATCCTTTTATACAGGGCCTATTCCTTTTTCATCAGGAAAACGGGGTTGCTGGCAGTTTGCAGGACTCGTGTGGACATTGTGTTCAGGTGGCAGAACTGAATGGCACAGTTTGGGCCAGCTTTTGAAAACCAGCCAGAGCCCTTAGTGAAGGGAGGCTGTAAACAGAACAGGAGGGTAGATGGCAATGCTTGATATCTGAATGGGTCAGGCCCGTTCTCCAGTAATACCTTCTTCTTGGTTCCTTGCCTGCCTCAGCTCAGGTCCAGACGGGAGGCCAGTAGAACTGAAGAGGAAACTGGGACAGAAGGTGGGCGTGAGGCCTTTGCCAAGATCGGAGTCAGAGAGGAGCAAAGGGAGCAAGAGGTGGCCGTATCGAATTCCCTGGCCCCCAAGCAAGGTTGGTGCCACCTTCTGAGGAGACAGGCAGGGCCAAAATAAACCAACCAACCATAGGAGTGTTTCCTGTTTGCTTCATGCCGGCTAGTGGATTCTGGAAGCTGCAGCTGGACGGAGTGACTTTTCCAAGCTGTGTTTATTACCGACCCGGCGGGTGCCCAAGCTTTTGGTGATGCAATTGTGATCGCTGGCAGGGAGGCTGCTGCTGCTGATCCGATAAAGATCTGGGTTATTTTTTAAAGCTGAGCATTCAAAATTAAGAAGTTGGCATTTTTAGAGGAAAGGATATCAAAAGCTTTCTAGAGATACTCTTTCCTTCGGCTGCTATTATGCTGCTTCTTTGGTTTATTGAAATGCTAAGCAGTCAAGTAAACTGAGGATAATTAATTTCATCACAAGAAAAGCAAGCCTCACTGGAAAGGGCAGAAACGCTGTGAAAGTTGAAGGCAGTAGGAAAAGAGGAAGACCAAACATGAGATGGACTGACTCAATGAAGGAAAGCGCAGCCTTGACATTACAAGAGCTGAGCTGAGGGCCGTTGAGGATAGGACCCCATGGAAACTGTATTAATTCATAGGGTTATAAGTCAGGAGCAATTTGACGGCACAGAATAAAAAGGAAAATGTGCTGCTTATATACCGCCCCATAGCACTTCAAGCACTCTCTGGGCGGTTTACAAGTTAATTACGCAGGCTACACATTGCCCCTCCCCCCAGCAAGCTGGGTACTCATGTTACCGACCTCGGAAGGATAGAAGGCTGAGTCAACCTTGAGCCGGCTACCTGGGATTGAACCCCAGGTCGTGAGCACAGTTTTGGCTGCAATGCAGCGGTTTAACCACTGCACCACGAGGTAACAATGTCATAAATAAACAAACAAACAAGAGCAAAGTCCATGCTAGGGATTATATTTTTTTTAGAAAAAAAAGATCAAGGGAGGAAGAATACCCTGCCCTTGACTTGTAATGCCTTTGTGCGAATTTGTGGTGATGTTGCACTTCGAATATTGTGTACATCTGAAAAAAGGATACTGGGATGCTGGCGAGATAGCTTTGTGGAATCAAGGCTTGGGAGTTAAGTTCCCCACTGGGCGTCCTGTGAAGTCCAGCCAGCCTGGGTAGCCTTGGGTAAAAGCTGCACAGTCCCAGGGCGCCCCCTAGTCGAAGGGAGTGGGGAACCACTTCTGAGTAATCTCTAATAAGAAAAAAACCTGGAAAGGGTCACCATAAGTCAGAATCAACTTGGTAGCACACTATTGTTATTTTTATTTCATTTATTTATGTCTCTTATTTATTGTCTGCCTTTCTCCCGGTAGGAGCTGGGGAAAGGTATAAGTCTAATATAAAACAGAAACTATTTGCTGGCCACCTGGCTTCATGAGTAATGGGCAGAACGTCCAGCCTACTTTTAAATCCATTCCTTCACTCTACTTTTTTTTCCTGATAAAAAGTTCTGGAGAACATGATACCTCATCTCATTTGTAATTCCTGGCACTCCAATGAAGTTGTTACTCACCCTTGAGCTGTGCAGCATAACTGGATTATTCGGGGTCCCAGCAGGAAAGAATGACCAGGGGCTTCCAGAGAGCCTTGCCACACACAAGAGCAAGGCTCCTGCATTCTTCTCCAGCTGAGACAAAAATCCAGGCCAGATAACAACTGTTGTTGTTCTAATTTAGGGTCATTTGCCAGAGATGGGGAGCATTTGTGCCTTTGGGCAACAGCCAGTGGCTGGACTGAAAGCTAATCAGGACCCCATGCAGGTTAGTTATGGGTTTAGGATGCCTTCCAACTTTCTGTTTCTACTTCTGAAAAAAAAATATCCCCTTTTCTTATTTTCCTCACTGCTTACCAGTCCAGAACTAATCCCAGGATACATATGATCATGAATTACGCTTCCCATCCTAGGTTTGCCAAGTGGCTGCAAAGCCCCTGAAAACTCCTGCCAGGTGGGCGCTTGTGCTTTTTAACGAGTTTGATGCACAGCAATTAGCAGGCAAAACTTTTAATGGCAGGAAGCTAGTTGGCACTGCCTGCTAATTGTTGTGCATCATATTTCTTTTAAAAATACAGCTGTAAGGAGTTCTTGGAAAGCTGGTGCCCCTCCTCATTGGAGCAGAGTGTTTAAAATCTGTCTCCTCCCTTTGACCCTTTGCAGTTGGGCCCCCTCGTCCTATTTCTTGCAGTGCCAACGCTTCCCCTTGCCTGCTCCTGCCGGTAAGTGCTGGGTGCAGCAGACAGTTGAACTGAATTGGTGCTCTTGGCCCTTTTTACTCCATGACCAGCCAGAGAAGTATGGGAGCCTTTGCAATGTTCGGGAAGATGCTGTGGCATCAGATTTCATCCTTGCCCACCCCCCAACAGCTTAGGTTGTGCATGCCATCAGGTTTCCTTCTCTGGATGCTGATGAATGGGAGCACACAAACTTTGTGGCCCTCCAAGGAAAGCAGTGGTATCCAGGAGCTAAGATGATGGAGGCCTCTGTCTCTCTCTCTCTCTCCCTCTCTGCTTCCTGCCTCCTCCAATGGTTGTGTGTGACACTTGGCACTAATTAGCTCTAATTAGCAGAGGCCTGTGCTGTTGTTCTCCATTGCTATGCAAGGAAGGGATCTGAGACTGAAAGTTTCCAAACAGACTGTGAACATTAAAGGCAATTTAGAGTCTGGCAGGAACAGAGATGATAAAAGCAATTAATGGGGAGGGGAATGTTGGCAGATGCCAGGGTTGACATGTGCCTTCCGCTCAACATGTGCCTCGGAAAAGTCCATTGCTGGGGGCTCCCGTGTGTGGATGTGTCAGATATCCAAGGAATGGCTTCCCATTGCCTCCACCAGGGAGTTTTTATGACCCCATGGAGATTTCAACCACATTTCCTGAGGCTTAGTTTGATGCTCTATCCATTACATTATACCATCTTCTCACCAAAAAAATATTCTCCAGGCTTTCTTGTGGCTGGGAGGAGCACTGATGCTTGAAAACTCATATACCTTCCAAATTTTCATACCTAAACCTCATACTCTTCTTCTCTCTTGGGGCCCTTTTATGCATTTGCTTTCTTCATCAATTTATATTCTTCTTCTTTTTTAGTCTGTCCACACTAGCATGTGGATGTGATCTACAGATTACTGAGGGCATAGTTTAGCTCAGACAAACAAACAAACAAACAAACAAACAAAAAAGAGTCAGTGTCTGCTTGTGTTTCTGCTTAGAATGATCCATCTTTCTCCTTTTAGAGATAGTGTGCATCTTTCTGGCTCAGTGATAGGGCATGCATTCTTTTTGGCTTGCTCTGCTTAGCTGAGAAAAAGCACCCTCCAGCAACCTCAGTATTGTGGCTGCGTATTACAAGTGAGAGTTTGGGGAGAAGAAGGGCAAGGGGAGAGGGAAATAGAGAAAACAGTACTGTACTGAGGGGACAGAGAGAGAGGAACAGGTTAAAAAGTACTTTCACTTTCCCTAATCCTCTGCAAACAATCCGGTAAAGTACTTAATTGATAACTGATCAAGCTGCAAGGGGTTTTATTTCTGAAGGCTTTCACGGCCGGGATCTAATGGCTGTTGTGGGTTTTTCAGGCTGTTTGGCCGTGTTCTGAAGGTTGTTTGCTTTTGGGATGTGAGGAGTGCACCAAATGGCACATTGCTCCCCACAACCACCTCAAGAGACCCTTTGTGGCATGAGCCGCTCTGAACTCAAAATGACCAGTCTGGATAGGACTTTAGTCTGTGTGTCATTTGGATTAACATGCCATAAAATAGTCCTAAACTGGAAGATAAACAATAAACCCATGGCAAGAAACAACACATGCAGCCCACAGGGTTCTTCTTTATGGTCTCTGTGAATGCACACAATTTGGTTTTAGTGTGCCTGTGTAAAGACTCTCGGAAACTTCTAGAGCTTTAACATGTGTTAGGAACTCCCTCCCATCGCGCTTGCCCCGCCGATGGTATAGAGTGCCTCAGTTCCTTTTTTGTCGCCGCTGCAGCAGCACCTCTGTTCGTTCTGTGAGAATAAAAAGATATTTTAACCTCTTCAGGACCTTCCTCCGATTCACTCTTCATGAGTTAAAAAGAAGAAGAAGAGAGGGAGAAAACAGTTAGGATAGGAGACGAAACTCCTTTTCCCACCCTTTTTTACCTGGCCCTCTGCTCTCTTATGGCCTCTTCAGGCCCCTTCAAGCGGTGTGAGTCTTGCCCGACTAAAATAATCCTTTCCAACAGGCATTCTCAGTGCCTCTTCGGCTTAGGTGAGGCCCACCAAACTTCATCGTATTGGGCCTGTAAGAAGTTAACTAAGCTAGTGCTCAGGCTTCGTCTTCTGCGCTTATGATCTTTCCTTTGGGAAGAATCTCTACAGTCACCTCAGCGCTCCACCATGGATCCCAATCAAGCCCAAATTGCAGAGTCCTGTCCCACCTCTCGAAATTGATCAACCTCGAGACCACCTCAAGGTGCTAAGAAGGCCAAACCAATGCCTAAGCCAAAGCCCTTGACATCAATGTCAAAACCCACTTCAACTCATTCCACTGTGTCGACACCCAAATCGACCTCAGTCTCAACGACTCTCTTAGAAAGAAAAAGAAATCGGCCTCTCACAAGTCCAGAACCTCTGCGGATAAGTCAACTCCGCCTTCTCTGCCTATGGAAGAGCCTCAATAGGTGTGCCTTGATGAGGATGCTCCTCTCTCTTTGCCTGGTACTGCACCCACTCTGCAGTACAGTCCCTCTCAGGACTGGGGGAATACCTCAGCTGAGGTCACTGCAGTTATGCATTTGGTGCAGGCAAACCCCCAATTTCAGATTGGCTCCATCTCAAACACACATTAGTGTCAGTCAGCTCTCTGTCCTTTGTTCCATCCTGACAAGGTCACACTTTATCCTGGCCAAAGGCAGTGTCTGACTTTTACTTACAACAGCCTGTCGTTTTACCTACATTCTTCCCTTCACCTACTACTGACCTAGAATGATCTGTACATTCCCTGGATGTCAGACGTGCCTTAGTGTTTTACGTTACCCATTCTGCTTCCTTTTGAAAGTCCAAAAGACTCTTCATCAGCTGTCACAGTCATTCTAGAGGTTCCTCAGTCACCTCTCAAACAATTTCCAAATGGACTGTATCCACAATTCGTCTGGCGTATGCTCTTGCCCAAACGCCCTTGCCATGCTCTGTAAGAGCACACTTTACAAGAGCCGTAGCGACATCCACAGCATTTCTAAGAGGAGTTGACCTGACTGATGTTTGCAAAGCAGCCACTTGAGCTGTGCCCCCCCCCACACACACAGTCTGTGCCAAGGCTGATGCCTCAGTTGGTTGTGCTGTTCTTGCCTCTGCTTTATTGTGACATCCCATCTGGTAAGTCAGCTTGCTAGTCACCCATTTGTGTGCATTCACAGAGACCACGAAGAAGAAAGAGAGGTTACTTACTGTAACTCTGGTTCTCCGAGTAGTCATCAGTGAATTCACACTTCCCGCCCATTGTCCCCACTGTCTGTCATGTTTGCTTACTGCATGCTGGGCAGCGGCGGACTGTTCTACGGAACAGAGTCACTCCGTGCCATGGGCGGGGCGGGGCAAGCACGATGGGAGGTTCTAACAACACACGTTAAAGCTCTAGAAGTTTCCGGGACACTCTGTGCAGGCACACTAAAACCCATTTGTGTGAATTCACAGAGACCACGAAGAAGAAAGAGAGGTTACTTACTGTAACTCTGGTTCTCCGAGTAGTCATCAGTGAATTCACACTTCCCGCCCATTGTCCCCACTGTCTGTCATGTTTGCTTACTGCATGCTGGGCAGCGGCGGACTGTTCTACGGAACAGAGTCACTCCGTGCCATGGGCGGGGCGGGGCAAGCACGATGGGAGGTTCTAACAACACACGTTAAAGCTCTAGAAGTTTCCGGGACACTCTGTGCAGGCACACTAAAACCCATTTGTGTGAATTCACAGAGACCACGAAGAAGAAAGAGAGGTTACTTACTGTAACTCTGGTTCTCCGAGTAGTCATCAGTGAATTCACACTTCCCGCCCATTGTCCCCACTGTCTGTCATGTTTGCTTACTGCATGCTGGGCAGCAGCGGACTGTTCTACGGAACAGAGTCACTCCGTGCCATGGGCGGGGCGGGGCAAGCACGATGGGAGGTTCTAACAACATACGTTAAAGCTCTAGAAGTTTCCGGGACACTCTGTGCAGGCACACTAAAACCCATTTGTGTGAATTCACAGAGACCACGAAGAAGAAAGAGAGGTTACTTACTGTAACTCTGGTTCTCCGAGTAGTCATCTGTGTATTCACACTTCCCGCCCATTGTCCCCACTGTCTGTCATGTTTGCTTACTGCATGCTGGGCAGCGGCAGACTGTTCTACGGAACAGAGTCACTCCGTGCCATGGGCGGGGCGGGGCAAGCACGATGGGAGGTTCTAACAACACACGTTAAAGCTCTAGAAGTTTCCGGGACACTCTGTGCAGGCACACTAAAACCCATTTGTGTGAATCCACAGATGACCACTTGAAGGAACAGGAGTTACAGGTAAGTAACCTCTCTTTTCAGAGCTCAGCCTCCAATCAGCCCCCTAAAAATGCCTCTGGGCTGGAGTTGACGCTTTCTAGCCCTCGGTTACTGCCAGGCGGACACCTCCATTCTGGGATACAGGCCATGGAAGGACAGACGAGATGGTTGTTTCTTACGCTCTGGTTTCTTTCCTTTTCATGGGTTAGATCTAGTCATTGCTTAGTTTGTCTTGTTTATTTATTTATTTATTTAATTTATACCCCGCCTATCTGGTCATTGCAACCACTCTAGACGGCTACCAGACAATATAAAAGAAAACATATACAAATATCAAAACAAGAAAAATAAATCAATATAAGACAATAAACAGTAAACAGTAGACAGTAGACAAATTCTTCAAGATGGAAAGTAACAGAGAAAAAGTGAAGAAATAAGAAATTAGGTATTGACTGAAGGGAAGGCCTGCTTAAACAGCCAGGTTTTTAGTTGGATATCTTAAAAATGCCCAGCGACGGGACCGCACGAATCTCTGGAGGGAGGTTGTTCCAGAAGCGAGGGGCCACCACCGAGAAGGCCCGATTTCTTGTCTTTTCCTTTTGGGCCTCCCGTCGCAGAATGTGACTGCCTGTTGTAGGCCTGCCTCCCTTCTGTTCCCTTGCTTGGTTAAGGCATTTTCCTACTGCCCAGATTTCTAGCCTGCCCCAACATGGCACCTCTAAGGATGCCGACTTACCCTTCTCAGCAACCCCAGTGGCGTAGGGGGTTGGGGATGGGAGATGTCACCCAGCAAGCTTGCGCCTGCCGTGAGGAGAGAACCCCGCCCAGGAGGTTGGCTGCTTTTGCCTTCAAGGGGTCACCGGAGGAGGCCTTCCTCTCACCTCACCCCTGCTTGCCTTCTCCGGGTGTTTTCAACCCTAACGTCTCCTCAGACTCAAGCTGTGAGATTAGTGGAGTCTGAGATCCTTCTATTGACCTTTTTTAGAGTGGTATTTCTCAGCCTTTGGTCCTTCAGATAGTTTGGACTCGCGTCTCGTGGAGTCCTTGGCCACTGGTCATGCTGGCTGAGGATTCTGAGAGGTGCATTTTGCTAGTGCCCTGCATGAGCGCTGAGGCATGAGGTGACGTATGTGACACAGATTATTAGGCACTGGCCTGGAGTGGACCTGGCCTGGGGCCTGTCACAAGTGTGAACTCAAAGGCAGAAAGAGCAACAATGAGCAATTATTTTAGCCATGGCCATTAACAAGCAGCAGTTGGCTTTGAGAAGACCAGTCAAAGGTTGGGTGTCCGGCTTTAGCTCCCCGAGGAGCTGATTCACACCTTAATGGGGGTAAAAAGCCTTTGTCTTAGTTCAAGCTACAGGAGACAGAGTGGAATCTCTTGGTGAATTCTTTTTCAGCTTTATCAGTTTAGACTTTTCTTTTCTTTTCTTTGATTCAAGGATTGAACCTTGAGGTCAGGAATAGAATGAGAGGACAAAGTGTCCTCCCACAGGTCTTTTTAAATAATGTTTATTCCAGATTTCTTTCCGTTTCTTATTTTACACAGATTCAGAAGTGCTTTTGGAGGTGCCTCTGAAATAATGGAGCTCTTTTGGCCTGTGCTCTCAGGCAAACATTAATGATGCTATAAGGAAATGTGAAATCTCCCAGAGCGATCCAGGGGAGCACCTTAGTGGTGGCCAGTGGGGCCTTCATATCTCTTGGTGCAAAAGTGAAATCCTGCAAGAGCTGAGGTGACCACAAGGAGAACTAAGCATCTCAAGTTTTGACTGGGGGAGTAAAGCAGGTTCAGCAATGCAGCCACCCCCAAAACAGGCCTAGTGGCCATGCCAAACCATTGGGCTTTAAGCATCTTGCAGCTTGAATACAAACTGACCTGAACTGTCCGGGGAAGGTCTGAATCTGTTCCACGTATAGCTCACAGCAGGGTATCTGGGGTGATGGTGTGTCATTCCTTGTCAGAGACAAGTGTGTCATTCTTCTTGTAAAACAACTGGAACCCCGTGCTTGGGCATTTGTCCACATTTGTCTAATTGCTTTGTGGAGAGGGGACATTGTGCTAATGACAGGAGGAACCACTTCTTTTCCTCCCTCCCCCCTCACCCATTTATTCTATCAGAATATGAGACATCCCATGTGCAGACATTAAGACATGCTTTTAAGTTGTGCCCAGAGATTTCAGATCTCCTTTTATTTTATTTATTTTTATTTATTTATTTGGATTGAATCTACTCTGGGCGGTTTACAGTCCAAAAAAGCAATAAAATTTAAAACTTCAGTAAAAAAAACTAAAACAAGCAAACATAATCCAAGATGGAAAAACCAGGGGAAGAAATTAAGTAATGTCAGGAGGGCAGGCCTGCCTGGAGAGCGAGGTCTTCAGTTGATTCTTTAAAACTCCCAGTGAGGGAGCCAGGCGGATCTCAGGGTGGAGGATGTTCCAAAGATAAGGGGCCACCACCGAGAAGGCCCGGTTTCTAGGTATCGAGGTCCTAAACCGGTTAGGGATTTATATGTAATCATTAGCACCTTGAAATTGATGCCGAATCTAATGGGTAACCAGTGTAAGGCGGCCAGAGTGGGGGAAATATATTGATATTTTTTCAGCCCAGTTAGTAATCTGGCCGCCGGGTTCTGGACCATTTGAAGTTTCCGCATCAAGCTCAAGGGACGCCCCATGTAGAGTGCATTACAGTAGTCTAATCTCGAGATTACGAGCGCATGGACAAGTG